GGGGGGGGGGGCGGGGGGGCAGGCGGGCGCACCTCATCCTGCTTCGAAGCCACCATGATGCATGCGACCGCCACCAGCTGCAGCACGTTGCGCGGGACGCCCTGCGGCGCGCAGGGGGCCGTTGGGGACGATCAGGGCGGGATGGGACCGGCCGGGGCGCGCGCGTGCGCGCGCGCGCGCGGACTGGCGCGGCATGGCGCGCGCTTTATTGCGATCATGGCGGCAGTCCGCCCAGGGGCCACCGCTGCGGCGCGGCCACTGCCAATGAGCGCGCCAGAAAGCTCTCAAGGCCTTCAGCATATGCGTAATGTTTCATTGCACCGGCAGCGGCACCTGCGCCGCCATGAACAATGGTTGCCTGGCGGCGCTGAACGCAGCGGCGCGAGCGCGCGCGCGAGCCGCCGGCGCGCACCGCAGGTGAGCAGGCCTGGAAGCGGTCCAGAAGCGCCACCGCCAGGAAGAGCGTCTCCTGCTGCATGCCGAATTCTCCAGCGACCTCGGAGAGCCAGCTTGTCACGATTGAGCGCATCTGCGGCGTGACAAACTCGCCGCCCTGGCGCGCCTCTGCGCGTCCCAGATACCCGGCCGCCGGTCGCACATCGCGCTCCCTGGCCATCTCCCGCCTGCGTAAAAAAGAAGACGCGATACAAACCGACTCAAACTCACGGCCGCGGGCACGCAGGGAGGCCCAGGGGCAACTTTGTTTTTTCGTGCCCCCGTGGTCAACGGCGAATGCTCACCCGATCATCTCCAAAAGCTCCGCCGCGGCCGCAAATCGCCATCCATATGAGATGGAGGGTCCCTCTGGCGCCGGGCTGGCCGCTATCTCTCCACCCGCGGGACGCGAGTCGGCCTGCTGCACTGGCCTCCGCTGCTCCGGCACGTTTTCGTTGCAGTAGAAGTCGGGGTCGCCCATGTCCTAGGGGGGATAAATTTCAAGGGTGTCAGAGCTACTAAACAAGCACAGCGGCGGGCCGGAGGGGACGCCACGGCTGATCTTGGTGTTCTTGACCCCGCGGCGCGGGGCCCCAGCGGCACCTGGTCGCCGCATGGGCATGGATCCAGGTGCAAGATATAATTATAATACCATATACGCACCTGATCGGCGCTGCCAGCGTCGGGCAGCCCCCATAGGCGAACGTCTCCCGCGCTGGAGGCATTTGAGGCCTTGCTGACGGGCGAGACGGCCTCTACAGGGTTGTACTTGCCCATAGCACCCTCCGCAGGGCAAAGAGGGGCCTCCATTCAGGCCCGCAGTCCTTGCCCCTACTGCAGATCTGTCACTGCTCCGTCTGTGCTGCCTGATAACTAGCTGAAAGAGTCTGAGGAAACGCGGACAGATGAGAGAAAGCAACGTGGTTGATGAAAAGAGGGCGCGTCCCTCCTGGACAAAAGCTTTTGAACAAAAATCCAAACTGCTTTCGCGCCGCTATGCCTCTCGCGGCCGGCTCCCGGTAATGTGGTTCTGATAATCGCTTTATTGTTACTTTTGCGCCATATGGGCAACCCCACCTGTTGCAAGGCCAGGAGTGTGTATCGAGCGAGCCTCGGGTGACTCCATGTGCATGGCCCAGCCTGCATCGCCTTTGAGTGTCTTGCTGGGATCGTGCTTGCATGCACGTAAAAATTCACTGTATCGGGTTGCATCCTCGCCAGTGAAGCATGTTTCCAGTGCTGTGTTGCACGGCGGGGGCTCGGATGGGCGCCGCTGACTGCACAGCTCGAGCTGCGCGGCCCATGGTCATTGATGGCGAAGCAGCGCTGCGGCCACGGAATTCTTACCTATAAATTTCAATTCACCATTGTCACACGGCAGCAACACCACTTTGCGGGCACGTCAGCAGCCTCCGAGCTGTTGCCCCCTAACCACCAACCGAACGCTTGATCCGCCCTCAACAGCAACGGCAGGCTGCGCACATGCAAGCAAACGCGGCCAAAACGACTGCCTCGCTGCACCAGAGGAAGCAGGGTCTGCCTCGCCACTCGCTACAACGAGCTGCGGTGCGCGACCCTGCTGCGCATCCCCCACACTGCCATGATGATGAATTTCCCCCGCCAAGGCCCCGCAGTCGAACTGTTACCGATGCCGCTTACACTGGCGCGCACCGACAAGAACGCTCGCCATAAGCACGCGCCACCTGGCAGCCAACACCGCAATCAACCTCGCCTGCCGTAAACACTGCTGCGGCGCATATTCAAGCCAATACGCGTGGCCCCTGACGACCCCGACCCAGCCAACGGGAATCGGCCCTCCCTCCCCGCTCACGAGCCCCGTGCGCCGCTGCCCCCGCTCCTGCTGCCCGCGCCGCCGCCGCCGCCGCCGCTGCTGAAGCTCCCGCCAAAGCCCGCGGCGTGCTTCTGAAGGTATGACTCCCACTTTCTGTGGTTCAGGTCTGCAAGGCTGGGCAGGGGCCCGACCAGACAGAGGTAGTGGCTCAGGTGCAGCAGCTCGTTGTCCTGGGGTTCACAAAAGGACGGGGTTCACGGTGAGGTGAATGGTCACATGGTGGTGCAAGAGGCATGGGGTGCATGGTGTTTGTTGAGGAGATGTCGACACCGTTCGCGCACCACACTTACCGGCACACACAGGCGAGCGCACATGCACGCAGGCACGCATGCATGCATGCATGTCCACACGCACACAGATGTGCGCACACAAACACACACGTGTACATGCACACACGCGCACATATGCACTGCACACACACACACATACGCACACGCACACACCCAGCAGGCTCGCCTTGTCGCGGTTCATGTGGGCGCGCTTGAAGGGCCGTATGACCAGGCCCTGCTGCTTGTTCATCACGAAATTCCGCCTGGCGGGCAGGATTTGGTCGGGGATTGCAGGGAGTCATCATGGGTTATCAGAGTGCGCATGGTTGGGCGGCTGCGCGGGTGTGTGGAATAATGGACCTTGGTGGCACGGCAGGAGCGACTCATGACTCATCAGCGACCCTGGCAAATGCCCCTGCCAAAATTTTGAGGCATGCACACTTGTGCAGGCACGCGTGGGTGGATGCACACAAGCACACACGCCCGCACACACACGCACACAGACATTAACGCACCCACACAGGCTGAAACGACGCCATTCAAACCAGGCACACGCCCGCCCTTGCCTGAGGTCATCCAGCATGACAGTGTTTTCCGCATTGTAGTGGTCTGGGAACTTGGCCCAGATGAAACCCAGGGGTTTGCAGTCAAACACGCCGTATTTTTCAGTCTGGTACGCGAGGGATTGACAAGGGCCCGGAACAGGGGGAGGTGATCGTGGGAGCGGGCGAGCGGGTGGGGGTGAGGCATAGGCGCCAGGCGGCTGGAGTCCGGGGCTGCATGTTTGGCATGGGCGACCTAGGCAGCCTGCAGAGGGCCGCTTGGAACGGGTGTCAGCTGCCAACGGGATGCCAACAGGATCAGGTGCTTGCGCCCATACACCCAGGCCATTCACAAGCAACCCCCAAACCCTCCGCTTCCCCAACAATCTGGCGACCATTCGACAACCCATCGGATGCCAGGCGGTAACGCCACAAGCGCACCTGCACGGTGACCATGGCCGCGTGGTCCAGCATGGCGGTGATCTTGTACTGCTCGTTGCCCAGCACCCCCAACTCCCGCATCTTCACTTCCACCCACTTCATGTTGGTTGCACTCCCTGGAAGGGCAGCAGCGACGGGCATGAAGGTGCAAGCCGGCAGGGACAAGGGGACGTGCGAGCGCACACCCAATTCCATTTTGCGCGCAAAGCGCTGTGCGCGGACGCGGCAGCATAGGGAGACGAGCGGCGGCGCATGCGTCAAGGATGCATGCAAAAGGAGTTCTTACCTAGGTTCAACTCATGGGAACGGCCCAGGCATGACCACGCCGGCGTGCCGACCCCGACATAGAAACCCACACCCGCATCTGTGGCTTGTCAATGGACACCGCATGGACACAAGCATTTAACGCCCGTCATCGGCCCAGGGTACCCACATATGATTATGTCATAGAACTGGTAGGTGTCCCGCAGGAACTCGTGGAGGTGGGGGCGCGCCAGCTCGTCCGGCCGCTCGGCTGCAGACCCGAGGTCGAACAGTGTGTAATCGATGTCCAGCTGTGATGTGTGTGGTTGTACAGGCATGTGAGAGGTCACACGAAGGGCGTTTATGTTCATGGTGTTGGGTTGACACAAGGCAGGGTTGCATGTTTGTGCCGCACGTGCCTGCATGCGTGGGTGTGGAACAGGGCACACGCAAAAGGCGCAAACGGTCGTTGCCTGGCTGCTCCAGAGGGTCCTACAAAAATCTACCCGCGTCCACCGCGCGCTCACATGGGGCCTCGGCGCAAGCACCATGCACGCGCACGTGACCGCCCCCCTGCACCCCCATCCGCACATATCCCCCCCCACCACCACACACACACACACAACACACACACACACACACACACACGACCGGGGCCTCACCACGAGGCACTTCTTCCCGTCCCGCGGCGGGTTCATCACCTTGACCTCCACGCTCCTGATCCGCCGCTGCAGCTTCTCCAAGACCTGGAGGTTTGGATAAGGTGTTGCTCTGTGAGGGTCTTGCATCAAATCCCAAGACGAGTCAGCCCGCAGGGGTGGCGGCAGCAGCTGAAGGGTGGCTTAGAACGCCGCCGCACATAGCGCCCTGCCGCTCCCCTGAGTGGCGCACCCGCCCGTCGCGCTTGTCCGCTTGGCGCCGTCGCAGCCCCTGTGCGGCGTGGCGCGCGCCCATCAAGCGGCGTGCCACGCCAACCCTGCACAGAGGGAACCAACAATGGGCGTCCGTCACCCGCCAGTCACCCGCCGGTCACCTCCGGCTGGTCCTTGACGTCCAATGCCTGCTCCTCTTCCGGCCGCAGGTCAAAGTCGTCCTGCACCTCCGGCGCGGCCAGCGCCTCGGCCTCGGCCGCCGCGATGGTCTATAAAAGCGGCGGCAGCGGCGGAGGCGGCGGTGGCGGCGTGCCAGGGTTGCTGAGTGGGGCGGCGCCTCGATCTGGATTCAGTTGCGGACCGGCTGACTTCCCTCGGAGCAGAGGGCCGCGCGGGAGATCCGCTGGCCTGTGCCGCGGGCGTGCGGGCCGCCGCCCGCTGACGGTTTTGATAGTGCTGCCAGTCTCTCCACTGCGTGCACCCCCGGCGCGGGCCCTTTGCGCACCTCCTCCCGCTGCCCCATCATCATCACTTTCGTGGACGCCTTGATCGCCAGGTCCGACACCTGTCGGGCGCCACCATTCGAACACGCACGTGCACATGACGTCCCGCAAGCTTTGTTGGAGGGGGCCGCGGGCCGTTTTGCGGGAGCTGCTGGCTCTCAGTCTCAGAGCAGGAGGCGCCTGCTGCACCAGTCCAGATGGCCGGGCAAAGATCAAGGCGCGCCGACGGCCCTCTGTGGCGGCTGCAGGGTGGCAGGCATATGGATGCCCAGCAATCTTGAATTCATTCCTTGCTCCCAAGCTTTGACCGTTTTATCCATCCCTCTCACCTTCGCTTCGTCGCCCGCCAGCTTGCCATCTCTGGTCTTCAGGCCGAGCAGCTTCTGCCTCTTGGCGCTGACCTGGCATGGTCCAAGCCGCAGCAGTGGCTCGCGCACGTCAGGGTTGATTGCAGGGGCGCGGTGAGGCCGGAAAACGGGGCAGGCAGGGCGGCGCAAGTGCAGGGCCCTGTGGAGAGCAAAGCGCCCGCGGCGGGCGCGTGCAGAGGCTGCGCTGCTGGTGCTGCCGTGCCCACCTGCGTCTGTTGCTCCAGCTTGTGCTTCACCGTTGCTACTGTATCCTCTGGTGTCAGGTGTACTGCATATTCCTGGCCCTGCGGCAGCCCAGGGCGAGGCGCGTGCTGTCATGTGCCGCAGCGCCGCTGGGCGGCCGGGGTACAGCATGGGCAGGTGCAGTTGACGCGTGCGAGCTGCGGCGCACAACAGCGGTGCCCAACTCTGCCTGCAGTCAGACTGCAGCACCTGCCACTTGACACAGAGGCTGGCTGGCTCCGCCATTGAAAACGATGTCTACAACGATAATCTGCAACAGGATCTGATCGTGTTTGATCTATACGGTAAACCGTCAGGCATCCAGCAGTGATATCGAAAATAGGCGTAAGTTACATACACAAGAAAAGTACACGCGGTGACGCACCACGCGGCTCAGTCAAAGCGAGTCAGGAACACGATTCGGCGCGGGGCAGCCTTTTGAAATGTCAAGACGAGAGCGGTGAGCCTTGATTGTCTATTCATTTGAGTTGAGGGGCGGACGTGCAGCTGAAGAGTGCTGCGCGAGGCTGCAAGCCATCTCGCCGCTGGTTTGCGCAACACCCGCAACGTGCCAGACGAACGGCGCGTACTTGCCCTTGCGTACTGTGAATCACAGGGCCTCCACAGGCGAGCTTGGTGCAGCCGGCAGGCCCAGTCCTGACCTGCACGCGCTACCCAATGAGGGCGAGCCCCGCGGTGCGCGCATGGGCCGCCAGAGCCGCGGGCGGGACAGCAACGGCGCTGCTTCGCCACAGGCCGGAGTCGTTGCGGAGGACGAGGCGGCTGGACGTCAGCAGCGGAATCCATTTCTCGGGAGGGGCGATGGAAAAGAGGCGGACCAGGAGTTGAAGTCCCCGCCGGTCGGGAGAGCAGCTTCGCCCCTGTTTTCCCAGGTGACCGGCAGAGTGACATCCGGAGCGCCGCCACTCGCGCTTAGCGCGCCGCACTCTGCACATAGCCCTGCCCTTGGGAGTGCTGCCGGCTGTGACTGATACCACGTGCAAGGGGCGGCCCTAGACGCGCTTACCTCACGTTTCCTGTGCCTGCATCGGAATATCATCACCTGATCGCCATCCCGCCCCAGGTGCGGCCGCGCTCCGCAGCAGCCGCAGACGACGCGCCGCAGCCGCCGCCGACGCAGCGGCAGCAGCAGCAGCACACCGGGGAGGTCCACGTTTTCGGGGAGATTGTGGGCGCATCGGGGTTTGGCGCGCGCACCCTATTCTGCACGTGGAGGCTGGCGTACGACACGCGGCACTGGCGGCTGCTGCGCGGCGAGGAGGCGGTGAGCTGCTGCATCCCGCCTTGTGGTTCGAATTTGTCGATTGGTATTGTAGGGCGCTTTTGGTGTGTGAGTTTTTGTTCATCAGTGTGCTCGTCGCCCTGGGCGCACGCACGGCCGAGGCAATCTGCAGTCGCGCTGCATTGCTACCTCAACGCAGCACTGCACCGCACCCTCCAGCCCTGGCTCATGACAACCCACCCCACGCACGCGCCCCGTGGCCTCGCTCCTCAGGGCCGCACACACGTGTCCGGCCCTGCGTCGCCTGACGACGCCGACACGATTTGGGAGCACCCGCTGGCGTTTGTCCTGGGGGCTCGCAGCTATCAGAAGTGGCCCTGCCTCGTGCTCAAGGTCAGGCAAATTGTGATTGCCAATTGCAATTGCCGATAGATGGTAATGGCCCTTGCAAGGGGGGGCTGCGTTGCTGACGGCCCCACACATGACATGGGTGGTGCGTGGGTGCGCGTGCCATGGTACTGCTCTACATGTGGCGGCCTGCCCGCTCGGTGATGCTAGTTTTCCCCTGAGACAAAGGGCCCAGAGAAGTCAAACCCTCGACCGCGGGCATTTGGCGACCACCCCGATGCGGTCCCAACGTGGGGGAGAGGGAACGCGGGGCAGCAGCGCGGGCTGAAGGGCTGTTGCGCACTACCAGCAGCACGCTCGCTTAGTGTCCCATCGGCTTCACTTGCAGAGCTGCACCGCATTCTCCACCCGCTCATCCCCTGTGAGCAGGTGTTTCAGCGCAGCTTGCTGTACGGCCAAGACCAGTTTGTGGGGTATGCACTCGCTCGGCTGCCGATCGCGCCCGGCTCGCACGCCGCCTGCAGTTGCCCAGTCTGGGAGCCGGTGCAGGCGCGGCGGTCGGTGTCGCAGGCGTTGCACGGTGCGTCCGGGCAAAGAGCGGGTCGTCCTTGTGTCAGCTTTGCGAGTGCGTGCCCTGTGTCACAAACGTCATTACATACGCATTTGGTATGTGCACGTACGCAGCGCACATGCGGACTCGCGAGGACGCGCACTCACATGCACAAGAGTGCGCGCGCACGCGCGCGCGCGCACACACACACACACACACGCATGCGCATGCGCATGCACGCGCGCGGTCGGTATGAATCACACACAGGTTGGTTTGGTGGGCTGGCGCCACAGTTGGTGGATGAGACGTTCATTTTGGACCTTGAGAAACGGTGATCATGGGGTGTGTGGGGTCACAGATAACATCACGCTCTGCACTCACACGAGCAAGCTGCCTCATGCCCGAGCCCGAGTGGCGGGGGCGGGTACTCTGTGAGTTTGCAGATGCCACGCGCGCGCGCACACGCGACGTCCGGTCGCCCGCTGCTCGCACTGCGCAGGTTTGAGCTGGGTCAGGGCCTGCACACCCAGGGCGCGGGCCGGGTCGAGCTGCGCCTGCATGTGCTGATGCGCGGCGCCGAGCGGCTGCCTGTGGTCGCACATGACTCCCCTGGGCCCCCAAAGAGGTGCGCTTGCGGGCGGTGGCCCTGGCACGGCAAGGTTTCTGCATGCCTTAATTGCATGCATTGAAATGTGAAGCAAGCCAAGAGAGCAATAGAACCAGCACTTCTTCGTGATGGGCAGGCGTTGAGCTTGCATTGGGGTGGCTTGCAGGCATGCGCTCAAGCGCGTCCTGCCCCTTTTCTGGGTTCTTGTGGTAGGCTCCTCTCCAGCAGGCCTGATGCATCCGTTCCGGGTCGTACCCCAATGCCATGCCGCTGCAGGCAGCAAGCCCTTGTAATGCAGGGGCGGGGAGCGGCGGGGCCGCGACAGCAGCAGCAGCAGCAGCAGCAGCAGCAGCAGCACGAGGAGGATTCTGACAGTGACGACGAACTGTACGAGAGTCCCGGACTGCGCTCAGTACGGGAGGGCCGCACGGCACGGCTGGGTGCTGCGCTGGCGTCGTCGACGCGAGCACGCGGCGTGTAGCCGGCGAGCAGGGTGCGTGCTGACAGGGATGGTGGAATGGGTGGTGGGGGTTGAGGCAATTTTTTGAACGGGTGACGAGCGCTCCATATGCACCCGTCCACCCCACAACATGATAGCAACGACGTGCCTTGCGCATTTGGCCCCCTTGCCCAACCTCCTGGCGCAAAATTGACGCGCGCCACTGCGGCTCTCACCGGTGACCCGCGTCGACACAGGCGGGTGCCGCTTGCCGAACAAGGTTAGCGGCATGTCATGTAAAATCTAGCAGTTTTTTGAAGGTCTGTGCAGCGCGTGCGACCCCTTTCCTTTGCGACCGGTGTGGCGATGATAGTATTTGCGATGTTTCGATGAGTGATGTGGGTTGCCCTTTGGTGGTCGTCAAAGAAGGCAACATACAACTTTCGACGCAGTGTACCACATGCATAACCACGTATTTCCAAAGCAAACGATTTGCGTCGTCGTTCACAAACCCATCATTGGGCAGCCAGCACGGGGCAACGTGGTGTGCAGGCCGGGACAACGGGTCTACTCCGCAATTTTCTTCTGATACGCTTTATTGTATTATTGCAGCTCCCATACGCACTGTCTGAGAGGACTGCGAGATCGGACGTGGTCTTCCTTTTCGAAGCGCTGCAGGGACCTCGACAGCCTCGTATAAGCCGCACAGCTATTCTGTGCTGCTTCTTATAAAGGTCAGTGCAGTGCGCGTCAGCATCAGAGCGTGCAAACGGACGTCGGCCGCGGTCGCCGCCGCAAAACGCGAGCGACTACAACGTCTGTGCGACTACAACGCGCAGACGCGCGCAACGCCGCCCGCGAAAGCCTCCCTGTTTGTCACCCGCTTCACCTTATTCATTGCCAACACTATACGCAGCTGTTGTTTCTCCTTGCTTGGCGGCGAGGAGCTGGCGGAGTGGCGGCGGGCGGCGCACGCCACCGCGGTGCACCCTGAAGGGCAGTCGCGGGGCTGAGGCCGCGCGCAGGCGGCAGCCACGGGCGCCATGGCGACCGGGATGGGAGGCGGTGGATCCACAGAGGCGTTCATGCTCTACGGATTCAAGGTGGGGGTGGGCCCGCGCAGCCGCCGTGCCGGCGGAGGGCAGCCGGGGCTGTGCCCTGCCGCCGCCAGCTTCTAGTAATGAAGCTACAATACCTTGTTCGGATGACATGGGGCCCACGAGTCCCCCGTTGACCCTGCTCTTGGCCCCGACACGCCACCTTCAACTCCGCAGATAATTCACTGCGGCCAGAGCTCGCCGCACGACTGGTCAACCTGCCCGCTTGCGCACGCGAACGAAAAGGTGCGGCCGCCAAGCAGCGTCACCCACGGCGGCTGCGCCCCCCGCCACACGACTGCGCAGCCGCGGCCCCCGTGCGAGCACCCGTGCCAGCTGCGGCCCCCCGCAGCCCGTCGTAGCGGCTGCCTCTCGCCAGCCCGCAGCGGCAGCCGCTGCACAACAGCGTTGCCAACCCCACCGCGGCCCGCGGGCCCGCCCCTGCTGTCCATTCTTTGGCCCGGCAGGCAAGGAGGCGGGACCCCCGAGTCTATGACTACCTACCAGACCTTTGTCAGACCAGGGCGCGCAAGCTGGACTGCATGTATGGGGACGCCTGCCCATACGCACACAACGTCTATGGTAGGCGGGCGGGCGCCCGGGGGCGGGGCGCGGTCATATGTGCACCCGGCGGCCGAGGGCCGGCTGCGGCGGCTGCGGCTGACGGTGGCAGGGGTGCGGCAGGCAAGAGGGACGGGCGGAGGCGATCGCGGCGCTGGGGCCCTTGGCACAGCTGCAAAGGCTCAGCAGAACACTGCGGGGCACAGCCTGGAGGCGCTTGCGTGAGTGCTTGCCGCAGCTTGGCTTCTTGTGGCGCAGCCTTCGATGACAAAAGTCCCGCCCCTGCGTCCGTTGTCGCCCCCTCCCCTAACCCGCAGAGAGCTGGCTCCACCCACTGCGCTACAGGACTCAGATGTGCCGCTATGGTGGGTGGGGTGCTGCTGGCCTGATGCGGGGTGCAGTTGCGCTGTCACCAGCCGGCGTGAGGATGGGTTGGTGCAGGCGTGGGCCCTCGCACCAGCACCCAAGCATGCCGGGCCCCCCACCTCACACAACTGCCACACCTCTGAACCTCCAGCTTCTTTCCCCGACCTCACCCCACCCACCACCCACCCCCTGGCCAAACAATTACGGCCCGCCCCGCAGGCATGAGCTGCGTGCGCCCGCTCTGCTTCTTTGCCCACAGCCCCTCCGAATTCCGCGAGCCCCAGGCGATCGCCTCGTGGTGGCAGCAGCAGCGCCTGCAGGCCGGCTTCCCACCGCAGCTGCCGGCGGCACCGCAGGCGCAGGCGGTAGGCCAAGCGGCTGGCGGCGCTGCCATCATGGGCAGCATGGCGATGCTGCCTGGCGCGGCCATGATGGGCGGGGTGTATGCAGCAGACCCCCACACCCACATGCAGCAGATGCAGATGCAGCTGGTCATGCAGCAGGCGGCCATGATGTTCCAGCAGCAGCAGCACCAGGCGCAGCAGCAGGCACAACAGCAGGCGCAGCAGCAGGCGCAGCAGCAAATGCATCATGGTGTGCTCAGGCCGTTTGCCGCCGGGCAACATGGGCACGCCAGCATGCTGCAGCAGCACTTTGGCCGGGGTGCAATGCAGCAGGAGCAGCAGGAGCATCAGCAGCAACAGCAGCAGCAGCAGCAGCAGCAGCAGCAGCAGCACTACCACCAACAGCGACAGCAGCACCAGCAGGCATGCAGCTATGATGCTGCTTACAACGGAAACGGCAACGGCTGGGGCAAGTCGGCGGGGCAGCAGCACCACCAGCAGCAGCAGCGCGGCGAGCGGCGCCACTCGCCAAACGCTCGCCCGCACGACCGCGACGCCGCCGCGGACCTGGCAGACTCCCTTCGCGCGATGGACCTGCGCGGTAGCGGCTCCGCAGGCGCAAGCTCTCGGAAGCAGCCGGGCAGCCAAAGCGGCCGCGACTCCCTGCAGGGCCGCAGGGGCCGCGGCGGCGTGGGCGCCAGCGGCGGGGTCAAGGCTGCATCGGTCAGCCTCGCCGCCGGGCAGCAGGTGCACCAGAATGAGGCCGGGCAGGCGCCGGAGCACGAGCCTGCAGGCGAGGGCGGGGGCGAGGGCGTCGGGGCTGATGAGGGGCCGCCCCAAGCGCCAGGCGTCGCAGCAGCGTGGGAGGGGGAGGGGGGGCAGCAGGCAGAGGAGGGGGGGCAGGAGCAGGAGGAGGGCCAGGAGCCGTATGCAGTTTGAGGCGACGGCGGCGAGGTGGCGCCCGTTGGTTGTGGGCGCCGCTCCACACCACCCCGGGGGCCGCCGCACAGCGACCAGGGTGGGGACGCGGCGCGGGCCACTTGCGCGCCACCCGTCTGGTGGCACGTGAGGCGCGCCCCAGGCTCGTTCATGGGGATGCAGCACCAGTCCCTGCCAATTCATTTGACAACATTTGGAATCGAGCGACCGCAGCCGGCGGTACTCCTTTTGCATGCGACATAGATGTTGGGCACCGCCACCTTGAATTTTGTTTCATGTCCCGCTCGCCTTCAAACCTGCTGCCCTTGCAAGTGTTTCGCGGCCGTGCCGCCAGATTGGCCCACCGCCTGTGGCGGCACTCCGCGGGCCTGTGCGTGAATCAGGGGAATGTGCGCGGGCGTTTGTCCGAGGTTTCGTTTCCACCCTGCCGCACGGCCGTGCCCGGCCTTTCGTTCGCACCACGCACTTGACCATGGCGGCCGCAAAACGCGCCAGTCTGAAAAGTCGTGAGGTTGGGGTTTGTGAGGTAGAAAAACAGCAATGCGGCGCGCCCTCTGCGGTGGCCCGCCTACCCGTCGGGCTGCAGTCCGAGCATTTGGCCTACATTCAAGGGATGCTGGCTTGTGCTTCTTTCATCAGGCCGCGCACCCAGCGCTCTGGTGCTTTTTGGGGTGTTGTGGATCCTGCAAAAACGCGCACCTTTTCGCGCCGTTGGCGCGCGCCTTTGCTCCTTGGGCAATAATCGGCGGAACGCAGTGTGTTGTCATTAGCAATGGGGGAGCCTGAGTTAGACGGCGTACAGCTGGCGGGACGCGCACGCGCGCACACCTTGTTTTCGCACGCGAGCATTCCGTGCAGGCAACAAGAAAAGCTCACACACATGCAACAAAGCAGTCAAGATCCTCTTGGCTCCCTTTTTGGTGCCCACTCCCCCGCTTGCATGCACGCGGCGGGCGCCTGTGTGTCAGCCTGCTGAGTTCCCCCGGGTGTGTGTGCCCGTGTGGCCCCAGGGCCCATCTGTGCGAGCCCACAGGTGGCTGCCTCCTAGCCTGAAGCGCACCTATTGTGACGCGTGCCCCTTCGTTTGTGCCGCCGAGGCCTGGGTCTGGTGTGTGGTGGGTCCTTGTGTCCCTCGTACTGCTCTGTACAGGACCTGTGATATTCGTTGCGTGTGACGTGGCTTGATGATGGGTTTCGATTGGGCACACGCGACTGAGCACAGACACGCGCACGCACAGCTTTGCATTTTCGTGGCCAGCAACGCTCAGCAGTTTGCCCGCTTGCAGCGAGGGCGCCGACAGGGCGCGCCCGCATCAACCCTGGGAGCCTTTGCCCACGCATACTCCGACTGCAGCGGTGCCGCGCCGCATGCACGCGAAAGCCTGCCGTCGCCCAAGCTTGAAAAACCGTGCCGTCAGCAGTGTCTGCAGCGCCAAGTGCCTGCGGTGCCGTGCGGCCGCAGAGCGCACGGGTGCTTGGGTTTTCCTTTTGCTGATGTGTACACTAGAATCAGCAGTATTGGCAACCACCCCTTCAGCGCCGGCCGGCCAGCTCAACCGCGCACGCGTGTGCAAGATGCCATCACGACACTGCACGGTTCCCAGCTCCACGCCCCACTCCTTGCTCCCCCGCTCTTGCTTCGCCCCGCCCGGCCCCGCCCCTTCCCCACGCGGACCCTCGTGCACCCACCAACGCCTGCGCGCACCCCCGCCGCCCTGCGCGGCTGTCACGGGTGCGCCGGCACTCCTGGACACGGCATGGGCACAAAAGCACTGCTGATCCGCCCATCTCTGTGCTGGAGAGCCTCCTGCTTTTCCTTGCTGCGCCGACCTATCCATGCCCCGCGCTCGCCCTGCCCCTGCACCACACCGGGCGCCGGCCTTCAGGGCGGGCGGCCGGCCCGCGTGCCGGCCGAACACGACCCACACAGCTTTGTTTTTCTGTGTAACAAAGAGCTTTGCGGCTGCAGTCTGTGAGCTCGACCTGGTCTTGTCAGCCCTGATGCACGTGGGGTGGGCAGAAGCAGCAGCCGAGAGGGTACATGGGCCTCGGCAGGCAGGGGCAGATGCACGCAGCACTGATGTGAGCGGGGCCGCCCCCAGACCAGTGGAGCTCGAGAAAAGGGACAGAACTAGGCAAACAATATGGTACGCAATTTGTTTCTCGCTGGAGAGGGTCAGTGTGGTGGCAGACGGGGCGCCTGGTGCGCGGGTGAGCGCCGCCACCTAGATGCGAAGGCAGCTGCCACCCCAGCCGGCAGCCTCGTGTCGCCCTCCCTGGTTGATCGCCCTGGGCGATGCACCTCAGCATGCCTTGCATGTGATAGATAGAATGAAAGGTGGCTTGTACCATCCTCTGCCCGACATCTTGCTGGCCCACTCGGTTCAGGCACAACATGACGCGGGGGCCGCGTCAGCGCCTGCCGGTGCGAACCGCGGCCGGGGCGGCCACGCGTTTCAGGACTGACGCGCCTGTCCGCCTACGGTGCAGGTCAAGGGTATGCTATGTAAATCAGGAATGATACTTGTTGTTCCCAAGGCCTGTAAGGCTTTGTCGCAGGTGAAAACGCGTTTTGACGCCCTGAGCTGAATTATGACCAGTGGCACTCAACACACGTCGATGGCGGCCACAATAATGGGCTAGGCCGTCTGGCATGCGCGCAATTGTCAAGTAAATATCACAGAAACGCTGCTCGTACTTCATGAGCTGCGATCAGGCAGTCGTCCACACACGCCGAGTTTGAGAAACAATCTAAAATGTTTCCCCCGCGCAGAATTTTTGCGCCGTGACCAGCCACACATTTGATTCAACAGTAAGGAATAGCTTTTATCGCAGAGAAGCGTTGCGCAACAGGAGCAGCAGAGCTTCGAAAGGCTGCCGGAGGCTGCCAAGGGGAGGCGACGACGTGAGTGCAAAACGATTACTTTTGGAGGTAGTTTCCGTTTTGTGCAGGCTCGCCGGTGGTGTCAGCGGTCGTCGGGGGCTCACGGAGCGTTGATGTGGTGGGGGTGCCGTGTGTCGTCGTTATGGGGTGTGCCTCGTGCGCAGCCGTGACGAGGAAACAGTTCAATTCTTTCGCCAGCATGTCAGCCGGATGACCATCTAGTGGAGGTGGCTGGGGCGCGGTTGGGCGTCGGGCCTGCGACAGCGACCCAGTGCACGGCCGCCACGGGCTGCCAGGTCCTCAAGGCCAAACATGAGGGCGCACCACACCCGACCACGAGGCAGACTACTCCGCCACGCGCGACAACGCTACAGTTTTGAAATCGCAGATGCCTATGCGCACGAGACGCCGCCACGGCGCACATCGGTCCAACCCCCACACACGCCCACCTCATTTCCCTGTGGTCGCCGCGCGCCCGCCCCCCGCC